TTCTTTAAGTGCAAAAAACTCAAGTTTAGTTCTAGAACATTGTATCATAATGGCATTTGAGAAATGGAGGATTCAAACAAAATCAAGATTTAAGAAATTCTTGTAAAGAATATTTTTGGAGACTACTGTAATTCACTTTTACACTTATGATAAAGTTAATAAATAAACTTCAGCTGTTTTACAGTATTACATTTTGTTTGCCATAGTTGGCTTTGTTGTTGTGAATCTGATCTGTGTTTTAATGTGTTTCTAAACTCACATCAGCCATTAAGTGTAAACTGTACATAAAAAGTTTTTTGTCTCTGCCTTAACAGGGCCTTTTTTCAAGCATTGTGGGTTCAGCTAGATCCACAACAGGATGGCTGGGTGGTGAGGACAGGACCCAATATATCCAGAAGGGACTCAAAAAAATTGTTGGGTTGTTGACCTTTCTTAATTCAATTTAGGGTCCTCCAAAGCAGTAGGCTAATGGTTTATCCACTTTAATTAATTGAATATCAAACTCAGTTTCTTTTAAAACAGTAAAACATTCAACACCTTATAACGCTGAGAAATATTTATTAACCCACAAATGTTTTCAGCCTAATGAAATAGGCCATCATCAGGTGACTGGTTATCAGGTTATCGAATGAATTTGAAAATTGTGTTAAAATATAACTTTCGAACATTATAAATTCAAAAATAAATTAGCCAATCAATATACCAAATAATTATACTAAATACATTGAAGTCATATTAATATAAATAATAAAATAAGGTGATATAAAAACAAAAATAAACATAAAAGATTTTTGTATGAAATAATTTATTTTAATTATGTATTAATATACAATAATCTTTTATAATACACACAAAAGGCATTATGGGGCTGCTTATCACTATGTTTCACAGCACTCTTATCATTTCAGTACTCTGGTTGATATCTACAATCATGATGGAATTCTTTGTCTTCCTATCTCCTAGCTTACACTTTGTATCTAAGCTGGTCATATTAAATTTCAACTCATCTGAAAAAATAACTTACTTTCACTCTTCAGGCTTATTCTTTGGCACATTACAGCTAATGCATTTTTATTTTCTTTATCAGAGGATGATTCATGGTCTTTAGTAACTATGGAGGAGATTATTCCAAGCAGGACTTAACTGCTTGGAATAATCTCCTCCATAGTTACTGAACTTTTTTACTTCAGGATGCTCTTCACAGTCAGCTTTCAGGTCTTTGGATAAAAAATGTTGGTTTTTGACACAAATTTTTCAAAATTTTGTCTTGGACAATAGAGTAGACACCATTTATTTTTTCTCCTTATAGAGCTCATTTCAGAGAGCTTAGGTAGCAAACAAAACAAAGCAGACTGATTACAGTTCAGCTGAAAGCTGTCTGAAGAAAATCCTTCTTTACTAAAAACAAATTTTTTTGTTTTTTCTTTTTAATGTTGATTGATTGTTTTATCTCATGCTAATCAACCTGCTAAAATAGTACACTGAATACTGGAATGCCTGTTTTTTTTTTTTTTTGTAGTCTTTAAAGATTATACAGGCATAACCTGTCCTAAAATGAGGTGATTACTAAACATTACAAAACTAAATATATAAAATTACTTGTCCTGACTTACTGACTGACTGATTGATTCATTCATTATCGCCCAGACCAAACTGCTGAACCTAGAGGTGAAATTTGGTATACAGTTAGGATACATCATGAAAACGCACATTAATTTGTAAGAGGGGATTTTTCGAAATCCCCCGCGGGGGGAGAGGGAGAGGATTAAGGCTTAACCTGAAGAACAGCTTCTACTCTACTATTTTAGATGTGATTTTTTTTTTTGTTTTCACCAACATTTAGTTTTCATTGAGTAATTAGGTGTATTAAATTGATAAGATTTCAGGCATAAATATTTTTATATACTGTATTTCGATTTTTTAACCAAATGTTCGAACCGTTTTGAATTCGAATTTGTTATTGCATACTAGTAGCTCGGGACGCCCCCTAGTGGGCATTCTTTACAAATTTTCATGAGGCACGGTTTCTTTGACTTTTTTGTTCCTATCAATATGCTCTACAGCTCTGTTAAAGTCCGAATGGTAAGATTTACCCTCCGAATGAAGAGGTGGCGACCCCCCCAAACCGTAGACCCCTGTACTAACAATAAAGTCAAAGGAACCATACCCCTACTCGCGACCCTTCGAGAGATATAAGCCCCTGAAATAATAAATTCCTATTACAAATATACTGAATTATTTATATTGTTATATTGACCAAATAATAGTTTATTGGCCAAATGAATAATAAAAATTTATATTGTTAATTTAAATAAGAATTAAAATTGTTAATTTGAATGTTTGAAATATGACACACGATAGGGGCGCCTCTAGTGTCCGTTATCAAACGG